ACAACATCAAGAACAACAAACGAACGAGAAGGCACTGTTAATAATTAGCCGTTAAAGATCCGATCCAATGTTTTGTAAACAAATAATGGCACGTGACGCGGCAGCAGACGTGAGTTACAACTTTCCTTCCTTTACGGGCGGCACGAACGAGACTAACTTATAATGCTTTTAGGATGGTTCGCATCGCCGGGCCAAAGCTCCGTGTGCTTTCGTGTAACGAAGAGTAAGAGGGCTGTCAGCACCAACGACCTTTGCACCCATCAAAGAGATTTTCGACGGTCGTTCGCAAAACTTTTAACCCTTTGCACTCGTATATATGTCCTTTCGCAGTACACTGTAGTCGGGCTATTATTTTATCTACTTATCTGTCTATTCGGATTTTTTATATTGCTTTTTATTTACTTAAAAAAAATCGCTTTATAAAGCTATGGGATTTTTTAAAAAATATTTTATTATTATTGTCATAATCACTACCATTATTATTAAATAAATTCATACACAATATAAAAACCTACGTTCTGCAATGTTGTGGTGTATGGTAAAGTCTGTTCATAGATATAAGAAAGTGACTAACTGATACGAATTAAGGGAAGACCCGGGCAAGCTGTAAGAATGAAATATGGCCGAACTTTGCTTAGAATTTAATTATTTGGGTTTTTTTTAGGAAAGATACTAAACAATATTTATTTATTTATGCATGTATTTATGATTAAATCTAAAACAAAATTACAAATTACTTTTATTACCTACTTAAATTACTTAAAATTATTCACGTAATATATCAGTATCACTATCGCTATCATCGCCTGTTCTAATTATTATTTGTTCCATATTATTTGGATATACGATTGTTCTGCTTTTTCTATATGTTTAACAGAGTTTGCTCAACTTTGTGGAGGGATGTTAAAAACTTTGGTTTCTATAAGTTTGAGGACATTGGAGTTAACACGGGGAAAAACATTGTTACGACGAACGGCATATTTCAGTTGGTGCAAAACATGTTCAATGAGATTAAATATACACTGGTAAGGTATTAAAATTATATGCCCTAAATTTGTGCATAATTATCACAGACGTATTCCTTTTGTAGGTTCAAGCTTTGTAGAACCTCATTGCATTGTTCATTACAATGACGCTATTAGGAGGAATGTTTGGAACTAGTTTGTTTTTAAACCAACTTTCAAATAAATCAGCGGTGGTGTCTTCATGGTAATCCAGAGAAGAATCTTTAATATTTTTCGCAGACAGAAAAAGTCCATTAGCAATCCAACCATCTTTAGAGCCAGCATGCAAAATAGTTATTCTTTTACCTCTTTAAGATGGCACGTTTGTTTTACACTTATCAGTTGAGTCAACCCAACCCTTTTCCGGGATATCATAAGTGTCGAACCAGGTTTCATCCAAGTAAATAATTGGACTTTGTTGTTCTCTGTGAATCCTAATTTTTTCTAGATATTCCAGTCACCATTTCCGAATTCTAAAAAATTCCATTAAAACTTGCCTTTAGTCAATTTTTTAAAATCTAAAACCATGTGTTGAATACATTTCCATAAGGTATTTCTGCCACATTTAACACCGGTTTAATCTTTTTCAAGCCTCCAAATTAAGATATCTAATGTAGGCACGCTTTGTTCCTCGTATAAGTGGTAAATTTTATGCCGTATTATATCTTGATCACTTTCATCCACACTCGAGAAAATATCAACATCGATTCTTTTTTTCCTCGCTGAAATGGGATTATTGACAATTTTCCATACAGTTGATGTTGGAATTTTCGTCAATGTGGCCGTTTCTTCTAAAGATGCTTGCTTGCTGGCACCACGTTCAATGAGAGTCAAATAAGCATTGTTTATAAGTTCCGTAGTCTCAGTAGAATAGTGTTTTCTACATTTGGGCAGGAGATACACTAGACTCGCACATATTTTGCATAATTCGCACACAATTCAACACACGCTGTATTACACACGAAATAAGAATGATTACTAATAAACTTAAACTAAGTAGTATACCAAATCAAAGAATATTAAACACAGGTAGGTATAAAATTACTTTCTATTACGGACCACAATTTTACCTGAACTTAAATTCCGAAACTTTAGGTAATAATCTTGTTGCATTTTATGTTAATGACCACCCTTGGATAATCCCATTCAAAAGCAATTGGTCACTTTCTTGTATCTATGAACAGACCATACGTAGTTTCCCGCCTGCTGCCTTGTACTTTACGGTTAGAACATACCGCACAGTCTTTTTTCTTTACATCATTTTGGCGTAAACTATGTAATTTAACCATTTAGCAGCTTTTCTGTATTTACAGATCATGGTCTGCTAGAAATTTTGCCCGTTGTGAAATTTTATATAATAAATATGCCTTGATACTAAACATTTCGAGTCCCCAAAAATATAACTTTCGACATAACAGTCGGTGAGGTCGACACTTCCCATAAATTTATTGTAATTGGCTTATTTACATCTTGTAAGTTACCTGCACGTATTCATCTATTGATAGGTTGTGTTCCTGGAAATATGCCAATAACGTCAAATTACCTGATCTGAGTGCAAATGTGTTACCCTCCGCAAATATTGATTTTTTGATTTGAATGGTACCTGTCAAATGAATATTTAGTTTTAACAATTCTTTTGCAAGTGGCAAGCTCGTATAGTATCTATCGGTGTAAAAATGATATCTTCTTCATCCCGGTAAGTTAAACAACTAATTTTACCGTTAAATCCAACAACAGATTCATCTACCGATATGATGGAACAAAATGTTCTTAGAATCGCGTGTCCAAATAGTCTAAATAGCGACTAACTTTCTGAGTTCGAGCCCTAAGAGAGACGGTTTTCATGCAAGTGGAGCATCCAAATTTGCAAATATCGTTCTCCTCTAAATATGTATTTTGGCGTTAGAATGTTGTAACCAAAATTCTTGGAAATTACATAAGATTATCGTACATACATTTAGGACAACCCCAATAAATGCGGTAAACCCTTCTACTGTAGTATCTACCCACGTTTTGAAAACCTCTTCTGTGCTATTTTATGTCTAGCGTAGTTATTTGTTTGTTCCACTATTCTTATTATTAGCTCATCAGTAAAAAAGGGCGTGACAAAATAAATGGGTTTTGTACAAGTTTCAGGAATTTGTGATCCTTCCATTTTATCCTTTGAAGTAAATAGAATCTTGTCTGGTATCTGATCGTGGCATGCGACGTCTTACCATAGACCAAAATTACCTGTTTGTGATATATTTTCGTTTTCTTCACTACTGCTAGAACTTGATGGTAAAGGTACGGTTCTCTGTTTTTTTGTAGCTATAATATCACTACTATTACTAGAGTCATTAATATTATCACTATCCAATCTATCATTCTGAGGCGCGTCAATATAAAATTCATCGTCCCTGCTTTGCAATTCATTTTCAATTTCATCTTGTAAAAATTTCTTGGGCATTTGAAATAATTTACCCAATCGTGTTAGTTATAAAACTGAGTGATATTCAAATTGCAAAAATGGTACACATGTGAACTGAAGTGGTTGAAATATATCCATCAACAGACAGAAAATAAACAGCTTACGATGGCATGTATAAATTAAATATTATGCTATCTTTTATGTTTGCGTAAACATGTCCTCAACGAAGGTTCAAGAAAGCAATGAGCTTAGGGGATGACAGACCGGCCAACCTGCTGTAATGATAAGACATGGTGCCGCCTATACGGCGACATACGTGTGCAAAGGGTTAAAACGCTACGCTTTGATGGTCTCGAATTGCCGTTAATAAATGTAGTAGTTGTCAATTTTTTGTTTGTAGTGAAACTTACTTTTGGGAATATACTTTTGAAGTAAAAATTGCGCTAATCGAAATGCTGTTGATGATGAAATGGTTGCTGTAACAGTAAAAGTGAATACTGTTTTAAAGCGAAGGCAAATACATATCTGTTTTTGTTGGGGGATTATTGAACATTTTTGGAAATAAAGGCATTATGTATTTTAATAGACTTGGAGTCTTTCAAAAGGGCTTTGTCTAGCTTATCAATTGTGATATGAGGTATGCAATTACCATTGCTTAACGTCAATAGATATTCAAATAAGCACCCAGCAACTACGAAGTAAAAACCGCATCTCAATATCTTAATCCCAATCGAAAATAGAAAAAAAAAAACAACTTCAAACTAAAACAAAGTTTAATTTTGTGAAGAATTTCGAACGGGCGATAATATCCACTAAATACATTATTTATTCAGTTTCAGTTCAAAGTATAATCAATATTTTTCTTCGGTCCTAAAGTGTAGATTTCTTTTAAGCATCGGAGTACCCAATTTCATTCCAATTTTCCATTCCATTTTTCAAAATAGTTTCATAATAACTAACCTTCAAGGGAGGTGGGGGTATCTAAAAGGTGCGAAGAAAATGATGCCCTTATCTCAAAAGTGAATGATGCTGAAGACACCTACAGAGTATAAAAAAATAGTTTTTAGGACACTTCAGCCACTTTTGCTAGCCATAAGAAACCATTACATACTTTAATGTATTACATATTATACAGACAATACATACATATTGTATACATACATTTTTTATGTAAAATAGACGAAAAAAAAACGGTCAGGCTTATCTTATCTATATATCTTTTAATTTAAACTCTTTTCGGTTTAGCTTTATAGGGAATTTATTATAACGTTTATTTATATTAAAAGTGAAAGATCCAAAGTATAATCTATCTATAAACTATTCAAAACGGTGGGCAATCAAGAAACTTTGACTATCATCAAATAACGACATGAAAGAATACAAAGCGTCAGATAAAAACAAAATTGGTTTTCATGGCAATATTGATAAATAGGTATGAATTATTTATATCAAAGGAGATGTTTCCTACATTTTTTAAATGATTTGTTAGATTTTACTACTTAATACTTCAATAGTTACTAGCCGTGGAGCAAATATCATTAAACAAAAAAGATTTGAATTTGTTTTAGCTTTAACATAGTATTAACCTTAACTGTCACACAATAACCCGTTTTACCACAAACCGAAACTCAATTTTATGTACTCGACGCGCGTTTGGTTGGCGAAACGCTTTAAAAAGTATGTGGAATATTTTTTTGGAACGAAATTCTGGTAAATATAAATATTTCCATCGAGTTTATCAGAATTAACGCTAGAGGCGCCGCGATCATAAAAAGTTTTGAAATGCACTTTTTCAAATTACGGTAAATGTAAACAATTTGGCATGAAGTAATCATTAATTGCGGGATCTAATATATACCAAAAATTTATACAAAGTAATTCATTTCGTGACTGATTCAATCTACCAGTTTCCTGAGGTTTGGATTATGAATGTAATTAATTAATGTAAATTACCGGGTTTGTCAAAACGCAAGGAACACTGAGGCTCTACCTACTGCGAAAATTTGAGGGCATATTACTTTATTCAATTATCCCCTTCTTTTTAACACTCCGCAGGTTACATTTGAAATGAAAGTGTTGTTATTTTAAAAATCAAGAATCAAATATTATAATTGTTGTCCATCCAGTTTAAAATTACTGATTGCAAAGCATCTAAGTTTTTTGCGTGATCGATGATTTTCATTTTTAATTTATTTTATAATTACGTGTTTATTATCAAGTATAATTGAAAAATGTAATAAAATTTTAACTTTGCCCTTGTTTTTACAAAATTTTTGGATACCTCCTGCGTCGGTTTTTGCTGAGTTGAACTTGCTGACGTTTCGCCAATCATCCTGTTGACTTCCTCAGAGCTTGACTAAAACTGAAAAAAAAACAGTTTCAGTCAAGCTCTGAAGAAGCCAACAGGATGATTGGCAAAACGTTAGCAAATTCAACTCAGCAAAAACCGACGCAGGAGATATCCAGAAGTTTTGTAAAAAGTATTACAGTAATCTGTGGAAGTTTCTTTGAAAAATTAACTTTGTGCTTATTATTATTAAAATATATTGTGACACGCTGATTTTGCTGGTTGTGGAATTAGAGCACCTTCTTCATTAACAATTAATCTTGTTAGCTCAGGAAATCTATATTTTGTAAGTAAATAAAAATTGAACATTTTTTTTAATACTAAAGAAAATGTCCAATTTTTTTTCCTTGACAAAATGGCAAAGGCTATATAGTAAGAGTTGACCGAATTTTGGACTTCAATAGACTTACTGCACTGCTAAAATAGTCTAGTTATTTCGTTAAAAGTGTATTTCCAAAATTCCAACAACATGTTTTTTCATTTGTTATCTAAAGCTTTTATTTACAATACTGTTTTGAAATAGCCTGCCTAGCGCATCCGCCTCAATGTGGAAAATGCTATGCTTCTGAATTGTAAATGGCGTTTCAGAAGAATTCATTTAAAGTAATCATAGCATCATATTGTGTTTGGGAACAATCAAAAATGAGTGTGGATACATAAAATTATTTATTTTTGGACAAACCTTTTGTAGCATTAGATGAATATATTTTTAAAATCGAATAATATTCATTTATTTCAATTAAATTTATTTCAAAAATACACAAACTAAAATTACCTTAATTTATTTTCTTCCATGTCAGTAGAAATTAAAATTGTTTGTTATAAGTAACTGACTCGATTGAGCGCACAACAAATATTACGCCGAACATAATCAAAAATACTTCCCAATATAATCACATGTTATCGAAAGAATGGAAAGCTTTCAACAAAGTGCTTTTAAGTGGCTCCATTAAACAAACAAGATAACTATATTTAATAAACAATGAGTTATTCGATACGGTATTATATACAGTTACATTGCAGATGTTTTATGGGCATTAATTTAGATAAAATATATTCCGGGTAAAACCATATTATATAAATGACAGGAATGCTTTAATGATAACGATTCATCCCTGCCAATTATTTTGTAGAGATTGGTGTCAATTTGTTTTAAAAAAATGGCAAACATGAAATTTGAAGAAACCATTTTTTAAATGCTGCGAAGAACAGAAATTTGTAGTTGCAGTTTGTATTAACCAGTTTTGATTTTAGTACATATTAAAATCGATTTATAAATGCTGAAATAAAAACAACAAAGAAAAATTCCGATAAATATATTAAAAATCAAAGCACGATAGAATCTTTTTTTCTTATTATTAATTATTTCATTTTCCTATTGAGAATGTAACTGTAATTGTTAATACAAAGTGATATATTTTAGAAATAATTATTATAATTCAGCGTTGCCAGATCTACACGAAAGCCCTAAATGAGAACTTTTCAATTTTAAATGACAAACTTAGATCCAAGATTCGAATGCTAAGCAACATAATAATATTAATAATAATAATATTAATAATAATAATATTAATAATAATAATAATAATAATAAATACCCTTTATTAAAATACTACAAAAAGTTGAACAGGTGGCGCGGGCCACTCTACCTAAGATCCGATACAATGCAGTAAAATATTGAGAATTTAACAAAAAAACTAACAATATAAATAAGTCCTTTAAATCAACCTAAATTCAAAATTTTGTAATTTTAAACAGATCAAAGGGGGGTAAAAAAAAGTAAAAAATATGGACAATGGAAAAAAGCCAGGGCAGTATTCAAAAACGACTAAAAGAAAAACAATAAGCCAAAAAAAAACAAATATACAAAAAAAAAGTGGTTCAGTCTCTAATTAATCTTTCTCTTTTAATTTCTTTTTAAATGTAGAAGTAAATGAATAAATAATAATTTCCAGTGAAAGTTTTGGTTGTGAAAGAGCTGAAAAACTCAGCCGTACTATGCTTGGGAACATAGAACAAGCTACAGTGACGAGTCGTCTTTTTAAGTATATCACTACCCTTCTACTCACTACAATAGATATACCGGGGCTTTTCGTACCTAGGATTTTATACACTAACGTAGACAGATGCAAAAAATACCTTCCATCACCTTTCATTTTACAATTTTTGTAAGCTGTATTGATCTTTCCGTCTTAAAGCCGGCCAGTATACAACGTCCGCATATCCGCTAGAGAGTGTATAAGAGAGTCACACAATTTAAGTAGATAAGTAGTCTTTATACATGTAAAGTACTTTCAGTGTCCCGTAAGACTTCTGCGATAAATAAGACAAGTTTGAATTAAAAAGCAGCTTACTATCAAGAAAGAGTCCTAAGTTTTTTATTACCAAAAAGAACACCTTGGAATCATTTAATTTCAGACAATGGGCTTGGGAGATTTTAGAAATCACTTCAAGATCCTCGTTTATACAGGCAAAATATTTGAATCAGCAACATTGATTATATAACCCTCTCCAATATTTTAGACATTGCACAGAGTAAGCTAATAGGGTGAAAATGTCAGTTTTCAGATGGTGAAGTTACCTTACCAGGTATTAATATTAGCCTTCTTCCACAATGAGGGAAATTTGCTAACAATTGGTTAATAATAAATGTCACCAATGGTGTCAGATGAGGAGTAATTAAACCCTTTGCGTTTGATTTAAATTTGGATAATTTTCTCTCCCCGTCCTTCTCTGTTACGGTTGCAAAGTTAAGCTTATTTGATATTTGGTCATAAGCATGACCTAAATATAGCTTCGAAATCATATCTTTATTAGCCTGCTCTTCACCAGCAGGAGGCCGAACACTTTCATTAAAAAACTGATTAAATGTAGACGGATGAGATTCCGACAAGGCCGTATTTGTTAGTCGTTTCATAAGTCTCAAATTATGAGTAAACCAGGGTGCTGGAGCTTTAGTTATCTGCTCATAATTAAAATTAGTTTAGTCGCGATAAGTTCAATATGACGTTGCTCCTAACCAGGCCCAAATCACAGCCAACTAGAGATTGGTCAGACATGTCACTCATATAAATTACACGAACGTTCCCAGCAAGATCTCTAGAAGACGAGCTTTTACTATCCTGTAACTATACCCTTCCTTTGAAAATATATTTTTTTAAATATGCATAACACCCTATATTTTATTATTTCTTCAAATAGAGCAATACCTGGCATACAATATTTTTAGTACAATGTCCATATATGGTATGTCTCAAAGTATATCACCTTGGCTTTTGACAACAATTATCGAACGGCAATAAAACACGTGACCGCTGCGTATTGTAAGGTGTTTTAAAACCATAATAACTAAATGTTATATTAATAAAGAATATTTACAAATTCTCAATAATTACCTAAGTAAGTATATATTTATTCAAAAAATTATTCTCAATCTATTTTTCATCTAATGGCAAGTGATTTTTATGCGACATTAAAGAACTTTTTAGAAACGAGTTATTCAACACTGCCACTGATATCAGGGGACACGTGGTCGACATCTACCTGACTTGTCCCTGTCTTGTCTCTTACATATGAGTCAATTCCTGATTATTGGGTTTACTCAATAAGAATAGGCATGAACGTCGTGAAAGGTCTGTCGAAAGCCAAAACGATATATTTGGAGACACACCATACCCATCTAGTACAGTTTTTCAAATACGAGGAAGTTTAAAAAAGGAAAAACCTTGGGTCCTAGAACGCTACCTTGTGGTACACCCGACGCTTTTTCCAACGTATACGCTCCGCATCTCCCCTATCGGAAAACTCATCACCTTACTCGGGGAACAAGTTTCCGGAAGTTGCGGAAGTGACATCCCTACCTACCGGAAGGAGACACACTGCACAGGTAAAAAAAACCCGCGAAATAAAACGTTGCCGGATATATCGATCAGCGGTCCGGCGAGGCGGCAACGTCGCGAATCGGCGCTCGTCGAATCGATGCGTCGCGGCGCAGCGACGTCGCCCGGTATCAGCACGTTGGACGCTCGGCGTCGTTCAGTCAGAATGCAGCGTCGGTCGCGTGCTACCAACGATGTCCATCGACGTCACATCATTAGCACCTCGTAGATGATCATGATGATGGTGACATTGAAGATGCGTTCCGGCACGACAGTCAGTGTTGTCTTCTAGGGGATGTGCAGAGGGACGATGGTGTCTTTGCCGCCGACCCAGTCCAATGGTACCGATGAATTGGTCGCGGCTGGGTTAGTATTTTTTTTTCGCAAACGTCAGATTAATTTTTAGGGTAAAATATGTGGACCGCAGCAACTTTTTGGGACGGCTTCTGATGGAGACCCTTTTTAAAATTTTTAATTTGGTCTTTTCTTTGAGAACTTATGTTTTTTTACGCGCTTAGTCATATTAAAATTGTATTGAATGATAATAATCATAATAATAATATTTAATTATCTAGTTTTACATTTATGCTTTGTGGTTTTTTTCCTTTGGAATAAGAGATTATACACGTTAATTTTGAAATTAATATTGACTGCCCGGCGGGGGGGGGGGGTCAGGAGAGGAAAAATTTCCATTTGTTTTTAGGAAAATTTCCATGTCTGAGAACATAAAACTTCGAAGCATAGGCATATGCTTGTTATAAATGTTGAAAATAGTTGACAAAAATCATGCACTACTCTGATGGTGTATATCCAAAAGAATGGTTAAAAAAAGTCAAAGCTTTCAGTCTATTCATTGCTTGTCAGCAGGGCTCCACTTTGTCGATAAACTTATCTGAATAACTAATAATAAAAAATGTATCAATATATCAATAAGGAACACGGTGCTTAAGAGTAAAAACTATAAAAATTGCAATGCAAGTTCGACGCTCTTTTAGTTTCAACACTGCAACATTGTCTACCACATTCAAAGAAACGTTAAGTTCTTTAAAAACTCTCACAGCCAAGCCGCTAGTAAATGTATACTAGGCTTTAGCGTGTTCTCAGCAGAGCTATCTGATAATAAATAGTATATTAAAATAATTACAATAATTGCTTGCGAAAATGTTGGAATATGAAATAAGAAACAAACCCGTAGAATTATTACCACTTAAATAACATCTAAAACATAGTCCTTCAGGGTTAAAACTAAAGGACTTCTATTGTGTGCCTTGTTAGTTTTCTGTTACGCAATTTTTATACTGATGGTTCACTGTCCGATATCAATTGTAAACTGAGTGTACATTTGATTTATATTTGTCTGAAATATTCCGTAATTAAGGAAATAAGGACAATGGAAGTTCGAAACGCTTTTACTTTCAACACAAACATGTTACCCGCCATATTTAAAGAAATATCATGTTGTTTCAGCTTTTTTGACGAGTGGGGCACCTGGAGCTCTAAAATGTCTCTGCTCTTTATGGCTCATATGTATGTCCAAACTTCTTCGTGTTTAGTTTTTTTAAAAAACTATTTCACTGCCAAGGCGCTAGTAAATGTATATTACGCTTTAGTGTGTCCTCAGCAATCTCATATAACGTTGTTTTCTGACCACTATTTCTTGATGTTAGCTACAGGGAAACCTCGAACAAGTCAAGAAGCAGAGCTCCAGTTTGTCCATAAACTTATTCATTCCTAAATAATAACTGATAATATATAATATATTAGCATAATTGCAATATTTGCTTGGGAAAAGTGTTGGAATATGAAATAGGGGACAGATCCGTAGAAGTATTGAGCATTGTTTTTCTTTTTTGTGTAATTGTGTAATAGAGTACACAATTTTTATACTGAGGGATCACTATCCGGTATTGTGAACTCAGTTTGCACTTGATCCATACTTGTCTGAAAAGGTCTGTATTTAAGGAAAAAAAAAAGACAATGGAAGTTCGAAACTCTTTTAATTTCATCACTGAAACATTGTCTCCCACAGTCAAAGAAAAGATACGTTGTTTCAGCTTTTTTGAGGCACCCAGGGTTCTGAAAATGCTTTTTATAGTTTATATGTTTCTTTCAAACTCAATAAAAACTTTTTAATGTTGAGTTCTCTCACTGCCAAGGCACCAGTAAATGTACCCTACGCTTTAGTGTTGTGTTTAGTGTTGGGTGCTGTTTGAGGACAGGTCAGCGACTAGGTGCTTTATAACGCTAGAAGTATGAATTATTTTTCATAATACCTCAAAAAATAGGAACAGCATTTGTATTCAACGAGAACATAATAATGTACCTCCTATTACCGTACATTGTACATAGTATATGTTATACAACAATAACTGCCATTTTAGTCACGACGTCCTTTTGGCACGTGCGAAATTAGTGAGTGAAAAATTTTGCTAACATGTTACAAAATAAGAGATAATCAATATATCACGTAATACAAAAATTAAAACATATTTGAGATTGTTTGTTTTAATGAGTTTGTGATAATTGTTTTGCCTTTCTGGTGTCCTTTTTAACGACGGAGCGACAGTAACTAAATTTCTGTCTATCTATCTATCTAATAAGACAAACACTTATGGAGAGATATAAAATAATCCAACAGAACTTCAATGTTTTTATTGTAGTTCAGATATTTTAAATAGTTATTTGGGAGTTGAATATTAGATAAACTTACCCTGGCAATATATTTTATAACGGTATCTTAAACATTTTTTCAATCCTTATTGGTATTCGAACCTTCATTGTGATGGTAACATTACCCTACGTCGTTAGCCATCTCCTGCAATAACATTAGCGTCGACTAATTTCAGTAATAAAATCCAAATAGAAATAAACCGCCGACTATAACCGAACGTGGCATATGATTAAATTACATCCGCGTCGTTGGAATAACAATATTATTGTTATTGGGATGGCGGGGGGCGGTACTAATAGCGCCATTTCTTGGTTCGCTGAAATGAAAACGGAAAACGCGCTCCTACAAATTAAAAGTGTTATTTCTATTCGGCGGAAGAAATTAATGTTTAATTCTAATAGTCTAGACATTCTTTCCAATTTCGTTCATGTCCATTCATTATGATGAAGTATGTAATTTAATATATAACCTTTTTCTGTCAAAGAAATTTCAGCAAGTATTTATTCTGGATTTATACTACGTCGCGTATCGCCGACATTTACGCAAACATGCTGCCCATTAATCAACTTTTACTTTTACTTAAATAATTTTAAATTTTAATTTGAATTAAAAAGTAGTTACCAAGTACTTTAGGGGCTTTGTTTATTAATTTATCGGATATTGTCGCATAAAAAGCTATTTATTTGACAGTCGCGGATAGTAACTTGACTTAACAATATCAAATATGATACACGATGTACTTTCATCTACAAAATTCCATTGACATAAAGAACATTTTAAAGTTAACCTGAATCCAGTATAATTGTAATTATAGCAACTGACCAGTTCCAGCTAAACGAGAAGTAAGTAGTGGGAAATCTTCATTATATACTTTTTATCATGGTCATTTCACCAGTTGACCTCCAGAACTAAAACCATACAGTTCTACGATTTATGACTTTAAGCAGATATTTATATAACATCGATACATATATATATATATATATATATATATATATATATATATATATATATATATATATATATATATATATATATATATATATATATATATATATATATGTATATATATATATATACATACATATATATATATATATATATATATATATATATATATATATATATATATATATGTATATATATATATATAAGTATATATATATATAAGTATATATATATATACATATATATATATATATATATATATATATATATATATATATATATTATATATATATATATATATATATAAGTATATATATATATATATATATATATATATATATATATAAGTATATATATATATACATATATATATATATATATATATATATATATATATATATATATATATATAATATATATATATATATATATATATATATATATATATATATATATATATATATATGTATATATATAATATATATATATATATATATATATATATATATATATATATAGTGGTGTGGTCGTATGTGTCGTAGTGTGTGTGTGTGTGTAGTTATATATAGTATATATATATATATATATATATATATATATATATATATGTATATATATATATATATATATATGTATATATATATATATATATGTATATATATATACATATATATATATATATATATATATATATATATATATATATATATATATATATATATATATATATATATATATATATTCTCACGTATTGATGGATGGAAAAATGTGATGACACTATATTCCGGGATATCATCCGTTCGCTCGTTGAACATATATATATATATATATATATATATATATATATATATATATATATATATATATATATATATATATATATATATATATATATATATATATATATATATATATATATAAAATCTGAACTTTTAGTTCTTATTTATTTTGTTAAATATGATTTTCATCAAGTAAAAGCCACTTCAGTTCAATTTTTGATATCATCCACATTGTTAAATTTCTTTTCAGCTAGGAAGCTTTGCAGTGGTCTAAACAACAAAAATTTGTTTAAAACATGTGATCAATCTCCCTTAGGGAGCCAATATAAAACTGGACCAATGGAGATTTTTTTTTCTTGTATTTGTCACACGTGGTAGCGCCCACTGCTACCAGAATAATCTTCAATTACTTCGAAATCATGACAACTAGGTTGTTAAAGGTATGATTATAGATCGTTCAGGTTGAGATCAATTTCGTGGCGGTGTTCTATTCCTATGTATCAGCTTTTACCTTTGGCCATTAGTTGGTAAGTTTTACTATCGCTCTACTCTGCCTAAATGTTTTGAACTTGACACATATTTTGATCAAAACAAATAAAACGGCAATCAGCAATATTCATTCCGGTCACGTATATATTTTTACCGTTTGGGGAATATTCGGTTTGAATATGCGATGCATATCGACACGATTCAACAGTTATGAAGGCGTTTGTGAGGTAGGTGATATACACTACGATACGATATTTCAAATGTGACCGGAAAATTGTGTGAAAAATATGTCAGTGGGTTATTCGAGATGCAATGTAATATCCGCAAGGTAATTTCGGAGAATATTTTCACTTGCCTCTCAACTTTAGGACTTCCTTTTCTTAAAGTGTCTCGTTTCCTTGGGGTCAGTCTATTTCGAACCGGCTAAGGATTAGCGAATTATCGGATGATATCCGGACGGATTCGAGTTCAAGGATTACGACCGACGAAAAGTCGATAAAAAATATTCGGCCAGATACGGTCTCAAAGCTTTCTCGACGAACATTTTAGCCTCAACATTTTTACGCGATAATTTAGGGTTGTAAATTCAGTGACAAAACTCCTTAATCCCGTAATTTATTAATTGTTGGTCAGCAGGTGGAAGCTACTAAATATACTATGCTCGTTGCTATCTATGCCGGAGCTAAAATTGATTCAGATCGAATGAAGAGGATTTTTTCAATATATATAATGAATATTCATTTAGTCACTGGTGTAATAAGAATTACTATTATTAATCATTTATAAACAGCATCGTAGGATAGTACAAATTACCATTCATTTATTTGATTGTCTTTCATTGTTGCCGAGTACAATAATCGTTATTTTAGCTGTTTGTTGATTCAGGTTTCAATGGGCGAATAAATATCTACTCCAACATGAGCTAGTTAAATAATTAAAATGGTTGTTTTTAAAATTTAATTGTTATAGAATACGACGTGCGTTCAAAAATTAAAATGACTTTGATGAAGTTTAAGCAAAAAGTATTTAATATTCATCATAATTAATATTGCACCCTTCAAAGTACTCACCCCCAGATAAAATATACTTGAGCCAACGCTTTTTCCAATCCTCGAACCACTTTCTGGAATAGTCTTGAGTTCTTCATGGATTTTTTTCCTCAATCGTTCCAAACCTTATTCCTTTCATGGGTTTCTTGAGTTTTGGGAGTAGGAAAAAAGTTAGAGCAACGATGATTGCGCATTATCGCGAAGCAAACTGAAACTGTGATCATATAATTGGGACATGTGTACCAACATAAGAAAAATATATCAAATATCGAATGTACGTAGCCCGCCCAATTAAAAGTCACCTTAATTTTTGAACACACCTCGTATAGTAAATAATAGTAATGTCTATTTTTATTTGAAACCATTTTTAGTTTGCTGTCGCTTTCGGTTTGGCAGTAACGCTTCGCCATTCTGTGTACTTATCGAGCAGCAAATTTAAATTTCTGCGTTCTCCAGGAAAAAATATATTTTATATAGACGTTTAAAAAAACATTTACTTAAACCAACCAAGCTCATAGCCTTAAAATTTTGAAGAAACCAAGTTATCATTTTTAAAAAGAATGATTTATGATTTCTATTCCATAGGTATGAATCGTATAAATGAAAAATTATAAGGTATACAGTTTTTTCCACTTTACGTGTTATTGTTAAGCTACGGATATCTGAAAATATGTATTTTCACAAAAATAATGGTATAAAGTTTAATTGCAATCTAGGAAATTGTCTTGTATAAAACAGAAGCGCCACGGTTGAATTTCGGTGCTCATCTTATGAAAGAAAACGAAATGGATTTAAAACTACAGTTGAAAAGTTTCGATGAGGGCTGCAACGGATTGGTTGAGGAATTATATACGCGACAGCTTGAGGCAGAAAACTTTGTGTCTCGCTTTAGAGTGTGCGAAACTTTGCAGCTTTGGTTCGGATAGTTTAGATCCTTTATGTGGCATTCTATGTAATACATTGTCAACCGTTTTCCATAGAACAAACGCTGAGTTATAAAATGGGCAGCAGATTTATTGCTTCTATATTTTACACTTATGGCGAAGAGTTTTGATGTTATAAGGATAACAAATTTGAAGATGCACATGCCTTAAAAGTTGTTATTAAAATGGTAGATGTCGAAGAACATTCTAATATTTGAATCGAATCATTCATATTCGGATTGAAAAAAGGATTCCCGGCGGTTCACCACTGAAAAACTGAATCAACACTGCATTTCAGGTTTCTGATGTTTAGAAGAATAAGAAAATAAATTGGTTCTTTGATAGACGAGAATCCGGATAATAATTGTAAAGGGGTAAATAGATCTTAAGCGTTCTGAATTACACGTAAAACTTGCATTGCCGAAAATATACCCCAGAAGTCAGGAGAATTTTGCCTTTCGACATAGATGGCATGCAGTTTCAACTCAAAATACTTAGTTTAATTTAGTTGCACCAAATGCCCTCTTCATTGAATATTATTTATTGTTTATTAATCCCGCATGAAAATATAAATCAATAAAACATCGGCCTAAATAAAATGGTTATTAAAAAAAACAGGAATTTAAACACCGGCAAAAAACAATGGACGATTTATTTCCTTTTTTATATACCGCATATACCAAAATGAATCGCTATCCGCTGGAACAACAAAAATGTAATTAATATTTTTACGCCTGTCGGTGTTAATATTTTTCAACGAATTTTATTAAATTCCTGGGCCGAATATACGACCGTATAAATACCAACGGCCTTATATCTATACAAAAATTTACGACGTCCAATAATCGATTTTCCATTAATCTTTATTTCCTAAATCATTTTATTATGAAAGGTATAAATGTGAAAGCGTCGCAGTCCGTCATAAAAGTGGATATAATATTTATATGACCTTTCCCGGGTGATACCACAAAAATCCGTATATCGCAAACCCTCAAGAGAGGAGTTTTAGTTGCAATAAATTTATATTAAGATACCTGTGACATTGAAGCTTATTAAATAAAATAAATTTCAGACTAAATATTTATTTTTTTCTATATAAGTATTAATAGGGACCTTTTCATTTAGAAATACGAAACATAAAAGAGATTCGTTTATTATATTAGGGACAAAGATAACACCTTTAATTATTTCCGATGTATTAAAAATAAATAAATGTCTAAAATTTTAACTTACAAAACTGACATCGGACTTGTTTCCAGCATTCATATAATAAAATCTCTATGCAAAATTCGGTCTAAAAATACACTTTTCATTTCAAGCATTGTCATAGAATCTTTACTTTCAGGATAGCATATATTGATGTTTCAGAAACTAATAACTTGACAATGACATATATTTTTTAATACTTTGTTTATGTTAAGGAAAATTTCTTGGAATACAAATTTTGGCTATCACTTTTGATATCAGATGTACACAGTAGTTGCTCGAAATATCAGTTTAGCTTTTACCAAGCTAGAAGATAAGGTAAGTAAAAACTGCCCCAGTTTGTTTGAATACCATACCAAAGGAGCCATAACCCTTACAATTAATAGAAATTGAAACAAAAGTTAATATATACCTATGTCAAAATGCATTCCAAATAGATCTTCTACAGACTTTTAGCTGTTATGTCTGATGTATACGAATTTGTATATATGTATGAGTAAAGATTATGGTTGATATTCAAGCCTGCGATATTTATTATAATATAAAACTAGTAAAAAATTAATGTATATCCACGCTATAACATAGACGATGTTCATAATAACTGTACAATTTTTTACGCTAATCAACCTGCAGCATTCAATTCTATTCTATTATTGATAATCTCAAATTTAAGTCCTCTTTATCACTTTCAAACACTCCACATGATTTAATTCATTCAAAATTTTAAATATCTTAGTTAAACCGGGTGTGTTAGGGAAACGCACGGACCTAGAAATTAAAAACAAATATATTAAATAAATCGACCATGAAAAAATGCTGGAAATTATTTGCGGTTTCTACCACTGTTACAGTGAATACTGTGTTATAGCTGAGGCAAATTCAAATAATTTTTGTGTAATGCTGTTTACTCTATCCCTGCATAGAAAGTAGTCCTACATTTTCTTAAATAAAAAGTGCCAAAAAAGGCTTTTCCTAGATTATCGATCGTGAAAAAATATCTTTATCCTAACCTTAATTAAAAATAAAGAAATTTAACGCTCAAACAAATTTGAACTTTGCTTGATCCTATTGCTGCTATTTCTTATGTCTAATTATCTATAATTATTATTATTTAGGATCCCAAATAATATTGGAAATCAAAATAAAACATTATTATGACAGTTATACTTTTTGACCGGTTAGCTGTGTTTAAAATAAATTTATAGGAGAGGGTGGGCAAGGCGATCTCATTGGACAAGGAGGCCCACCTCAAAAATTAACCAAAATTTTTTTTCGTTATATGAATTATAAATTCTGGTTATTTCTACGTTTTCAGTCCTTTGCCAGGAGTAAAATGAACCGATTAAAAACTACAAAAAAGCTGTTCCATATTATTACAACCGAATCATAATCAATTTATTGTAAGTGTTATTTTTTGGACAATTCTGTGGATTTTGCCTAAAGCGAGAGCTTTCAAAAATCTTATAAATACCAATAACAAATTTTTTGATAGAAAAAAAATAGCTACTAATCAGTAACTTTTTTTATTAAATATTTTTTAATAAATAATTGTAATTATTCTATATAACATTATAAATAGGTGAGAGTGGGACACGACGACCAGGGGCAACAATAAATTGATTTCATGATTAAAAGCCACAAAAAATAATAAAAACGTTAAGTGCTCCGCTTTGTCCCCCCTTCCTACGCTAATAAATCGATTCTATTCTATTCTATTATTGATATGATCCAGTTTTTTAAGCCTCACGAAAGATAGTACGCTCTTATTGCAAATATAAGAGAATATTTAAACAAGGCTATTATTAAGGCTTTACGTAAGTTCTAGGTTTAAACTGGAGCTCACACCCCTTCGCTTCCAAGGGAGTTATGGATGACCTGATGGTTTTTTTTTAAATACGTATTTCCCAACTAGTAAACTGTTCGTTTTAAAGTTTCCTTTTTGTTCCAGGACCTGGCTGGAAGCAAACGCGGACATACTGGAAAAATGGTTGCGCGAACACGCGTCTACAGATCTACGACGTCGCGCTCTAGAAGCTTGTGGCAAACTTTCGGGGGGCGCAACACCAAACACCCCGTCACCCTCTATCGATGGTCAGCTCCGTTACTGGTATTCCTCGGGAGCTTCGTCGAGTAACGACTGCAATGGAAAAAATGTCTGTCCGCGTCGTCTGGAGTCGATGGACGAGTCGGAACTGTTTATGGAACTCATTCGAGATGTCGCGAACGAGTTAAATATAGACGTTCTATGTCACAAAATTCTAAAGAACGTGTCGATACTGACCGATGCCGATCGGGGGTCCTTGTTCTTGACCAGAGGTTCTTCGGATGACCGTTATTTGGTTGCCAAATTGTTCGACGTACGTATGGACACGTCCCTTGAAGAAGCTCTGAGGCTCGCGAGGCAGGAAGAAATCAAAATTCCTTTCGGTGTTGGTATCGCTGGAACCGTAGCCAAAACCAAGTCGTTGATCAACATCAGGGACGCGTATAAGGTATGTTTAAGAGGAAATCATCAAAATTTGACATATTATTAAACAAATTGGAATAGGTTAGTTTGGCTTCACAAAATAGTACTATATGAAACCACTGAAAGAATGGAACTGAGGTGGATTTTAACTGATGAAAATCCATTTATCAAAATAAATAAGAACTAAAAGTTCAGATTTTCACGAAATTATATATTTTTACATGACAATTGTTTCGACAAAACCAATCAATGAGACATTCAAATGTATTGCTTAACGATCAATTAGATTTAAATACCTGTCCTTTATTGAACTTAAATTCTCACAACATTAATTAAGGTTTTATGGTCATTTTTCGATATATATAGAACAGGTAGTTTGTAAAGATACGGTGTTGTCGAAACAATTGTCATGTAAAAATATATAATTTCGTGAAAATCTGAACTTTTAGTTCTTATTTATTTTCACTGAAAAAATATAACAGACATGGAAAGTTTGGATAGTCCTCCCCGCTCAGATTCAACTTTCGATGTTCTTAATCACCTGAACAGTTATGATGTTGAAACTAAAAGACCTTCGCACATCCATTGTCTTAATTTTGTTTAATTACGCAACATTTGAGGCAGGTGAAGTGGTGACGTTTATCAAGGCTACTGACTACATAAAGTTGTCCACTAAGGACGCTTTATTAGTCGTTTCCAAACTATAACTATTTCCACGCTTCAGTTGGTAGTAACGTTAAATTTGCACTTCTTCCAGAGAAGATTCCTTTGCTTTGCTATCCCAGATCTTAATATTTCGCATTTCTTTCTGTGTCCAAGGTCTGATTTTTGCCCAGGCATTTATCATATTCACTGCTGATGACATGAAAACTGTTTTGATATTATATACTCTAAAAGTCTGCTGGAATTTAATTACTCCCTGTTTAAAACATTACATAGCTTTAAAAAACTGCGTATACTCACTAGTAGCTGCTGGTATTCTACTTCCCAAATTGGACAAGTTAAGCACTAATCTTTTTGTGGTAGTAAAATATGCTGCACCTAGTTGATCAATGTTGTGTGTTTCCATTTTTGAAGATGATTACTTTTTTACAAAAAATTGTTGGGTGTATACCAATAAGTATTCAATTAAGGAAAATATATTAAACGTTTCAACACGAAAACTTTGTCTCCTTGTGCTGCTTAGGGTATAAATTTAAATTTTCTTTTATTCTAACTGTGGCTTATATGTTATGTCGGCGACAAAGCCCATAATATGAAAATGATGGATTAGTATCCTATAAAACCGTTTTAATTACGTACGGCTAAGTTTGAGGGCCCACCCTTTTTCCTGCTGCGTCAAAAGCCCTGAAACTGGGATCCTGAATGTTTAGCAATTTTTTTAAATTTTTCAGTTTTCATGGAAATACATTAAAACCGTATTATGAATCATTGAGCATAATCTAAGCATAAATTAAGGTGTCGTACGTTGATTCGGTGAAAATAAATCAAGATAAACGTCACTACGTAACTACATAAACAAGCGTATCGAATTTCCCACGTTCCCCATCAATCTGGGGGAACAAAACAAATTCGCACGTAATTTCCCCAATTTCGCAAATCTCCTTTACGCACGAAGCGAACATGGATGGCGGTCCTATTTTTAGCGTGACGCCCTTCGATTCCCGTCTTTTAAATATCCTCTCGAATAACATGTCAGCAATGATATTGACGGGTGATCCTGGAAATAAGATAGACCTGGCGTCACTGTAATTACGCGATACAAAGGACGCGGTGAATCCAATAACGTTTTGTTTCTGGATCAGGAATCGGGATTAAGTGTGATGCATCGCATGCAATTATAATAGGGATGGTTTTCGATTTGTTCCGAAATAATTATAATAATAATACCTTCATACTTTTATATGATATAATTGAAATTATAATTTTAATCTAGGAAAAAATTGTTAATGACGTAATAGTATAGTAGGACCAGGCCTTTAATTATTCATTGCTGTTAGGAACCAGCGGGTGGTCGAATCAAGCCGAATGAATGCTGTATTTACATAAACACTAGAAAAACTAAAACTGATTTATACAACAAGTAATGAAAACATTATTTTTCACAAGAACTATTTTGAAATCTAGTGTTTTTGTTACAAGTATCAGTGTACGTTCAATTAATAAGGATCTATTACATATAAGTATACAATAAACTACCTTGTCAAAAAATCATATGCATCACTATACTAGGCTCCTAACTAGGTACCTATCTAAAGTAGGTTCCGTATTAACAATAAATGTAAATAAGTATAATTCTAAATAAGTTTTTATCTAGCTCGGTTGCACTCTCACTGTCGTCATCTAACTTCACAATAATGATTTCCCTTCCAACAGATCTACATTTACCTATGATTGTTCTATTTACTGAACATAGATTACACAATATTCTTCGTTTAGATTAAAACCATCACAGAAGAAACTGGGAAAACATTTTTCCTTCTTACCGACGCTTTGAACTCATTCCCTAATGTCTTTCACAAAATTGCTTCGAGTATCAAGAATTCTAAATTAGTACTTCTGTTGGTAAATTTAAAACCTTAGCAGTGATCGAGGGTATAGGATCTGCATTTTAATGAGTTGCATAGATCGACAGTCATACTATAACAAGGAGAACAAAGTCTCGCTGCTACTGTGCTGCTATTAACAATTTTTACGTTTGTGGTTTTCCTTGGGTTTCACGCAGATTGTTACTATTTCAAATTCAGTTATTACTTCAAATGCAATTGTCTAAACTCACCTTTCTTTCTGTCACTGCTAAAGTAGTGGAACCACAATCAGAAACGCATCTAAAAGTCATAATCCTTATTAGAACTTCATGCGATGTCTGCGTTCCCGATGCCTCACGCGAGGTGGAATTTGGTTTATATTTTTCTGCTATGTAAGGGGGGTTTTATGCTTTTAAAGATTAGTTACTGTTACTTTTGAAAGTGTGAAACCATTTTTTGTTATTATTAAATCGTCTAATAATTTCTTCAAGTTCTTTAACGGCAATTCTCAAAAAAAATACTTATATTTTTATATAATAAACAATATGCCTTAATTCCCCCCGTAATTCCCCAGTGCAGCTTTTCGCAAAAATAAACTATTTTAGAAGCTAAGTAAAATTGCAAATTTTAGCTTCCAAGTAAACGCTAATGTAATGCAATTAAAACTGCATCGAGTTGGATGATATTAAATTTGTTTGCTCCTATACTTTGGAGTAAGCGCCTATTAAAATTGCCTAGATTTGGGCTAATAGAATTATTCATTCGTATTAAGCTTACTGAATAGCTAATTGAAAATCGATTAAGTGACAGCAGTTTTGTTCCAACCGATCCACTTAATAGCGATTATCTCTGTCTGGAGTAGTTTTAGTTTCATTCAAGTCGCAGATAGGTTTAGCCATTATCCATTCCAAACGATGCGATGGTTGAAGAGATTCCGTGTTATTTACCTCAGAGGGATCATTGAGGTTTAAAACGTGTGGACCGTTTGCTTCTTCACAGACTGCCCCGGGAAAACAAAGTTCAAATAAGCATACAAAATTCTGTTTTGTTTACCTTAAACACATTTAAATATAAAGTTTTTTAAAATATAAGAAAATTTTAAAATTTTCGTGTACACCCGAGAGTGTCTTTCTTTTTGGAAGCTACATGAGATACATATTCTAGATTGTTTAAGAGTTGCAAATATTTTGTGGAGATTTAATCTACAATTAAGAAAATATATATATCCAAATCGAGTTGGCAGTGCCAGAGAAAATTAACTTTGAAGTTGACCCAAATTATAGTTGAAGTTAATTTTGATGACATGTGTATAAACCTAATAATATTTTTTAGCTTGTTACCACAAGATTGTAGAAAAATATTTAAAATATAGTAATATTATTAGGAAAGAACATTTCGAAATAATTCAAATGATTTTTATTATATTTTTCATATAATTGAATACCCTTTTTTTTATTTATATACGATAGTCCTACCAATTTACGATCATTTATTCAGAGTAAGAAGGTAGATTCGGGAATCCCAACCACAATGTCCTATTCAAATCAGTCATGCCATGGGCATAATATGGTTGTCGCAGATTTTGCAAAGTAGTTTGATAGTGTTTACACCATATTAGAACCAGATCCATGTTCATCTTAAACCATGTCCTTTAATTAGGATTTAGTCAACATGCATAACTTTACTATGTGGTATGGTCACCAATAAATAAATAACTGCCACACTCAGTCAATTAAGAGTGAGCAGAGAATGTTACTGAAGCATCTAATGTTCAGGGAGGAAGATTCCTATCCTGAGAAGGGAGTTGATGATGTTCTTCTGCTGGGGAGCTTCGCTTTACTGATTCTGAGCTTGCAGCAGAGACTTACAATTTGTTTCATTTCTCTACAAGTTAGTTCATTAAGGAGTTCATTGTCTATTTCCTCATGAACAATTACGTTTTGATGTGCCAATATCCAATTTCAAAACCTTATTTACAATATGTCTGTTATCATCAACAAACTATAATTGAAATATCATTCAGGTCTCCAGGCGACACTTCGGACACTTCGATTGTCATCGAGTTATTCGTACTGACAAGTCGTATCCTTTTCTTTCTCCTTCTTTCCCTTTTTTTAGTTATAAGATTAGTAGAGTCAAGATTAGTTTTTACGTCCCCTGAATATATATTGTATATATTTATATTTAATATTTTCTGCAATTGGGTCATGTTGGAAATAAAGTGCTTTTATTATTATTTTATATTCTCTGCCGAAATTTTCGTTTTGCCAACGAAGTATTAAGCCCTTGGTGTAGAGCCCGCAGCCGTAATCAAAGTTGGTATATTAGCAATTAAAGTAATTAAAGCTCGGATGAGAAGATTATGCGATGAAATTGACGTCGTTACCATCTTCATAAGCGGAGTTTACTTAAAACTAAATTCCCATTACTTTTGAATATTCCAAATGTCCTTCCAATTATTATTGACTTATATTTACGTAATTACTCCTCACCCACT